ACATACATACACATACATATGTATATACAAGGTGTCCCAAAGAGGTCGCGACACCTGAATATCTCGGAAAATATAAGTTTTACAGAAAAGTGTTTCAGACAAAAGAGAGAGAGAGAGAGTTGTAGTTGTTTTCAAAAAGATCTATTTACTGATTTTATCAGTTTGACCTTAGATGGCATCGTCAAGATCAGATCAATGTCCCATTGACTTTTTTAATAGCATACCCTATTTTTTATTCCAGAATCTAATAGCTGGTGTCAAGAGTTTTTCAAAACACTACAATACAGTTATTTTTTATAAGGTACTTTTCGAGTTATAAAGCTTGAAAATTACAGTACCGTCGCGGCATTAGCATTACGCAAGTGTCCGACCGACGGCTAAAACCTCTTGAACGTTATTCAGGATCATGTCCTGGATAATATTTGTTAAGATCAAGGTCATTGGAGATTGTTTCTCTTACAAAAATGAATTTTCAGTGCAAAATTTGTGACCGTTGTCTCGACTGACAGCACATTAGCGACAACTTCGTCGCGTTTTATATTAACATTATTTGATAGCCAGTGATTTTATCTCGATATTTAAAGTAAATAGCCATGCACTGAATTATCGCAAAATTTCTCTAACTTCAGTTGGGTGCCAGGCACAAATGAGCGTACCACTCTTCCGAATTTCGTTACTTTCTAAATTTGATGCTTATTATGCTCAATACCTCTCAATTGCGACGGACGATAGCCGATTGCTCAGCCCCGAAACGGGCAGAGAGGGTGAGTTTCTTCGGAGCGCGGGAATAAATCATAATTTTACATAAGAATCAAGAGAGAAAAAAAATAAATAACTTTTAAACTAATAATGAGAGAATTGTGCTCAAATTTTATATAGGTTTTCAGATGTAGTAATGGAACAATCGATACAATTTTTGTTAAATTTCTGATATTTTGAAAATAGATATTAAATAAATTTGTCGCAAATTAATCCTTATAACTGTGGATTGCTTCAGTGAATCGATTCAGAATTTTGTCACAAGTCCTCGAATATATGTAAGAACTTGTAAAGAATTTGTCAAATTTTTGTCAAATTTTTAATATTTTAAAAGTACTATACATCCTTAAATTTATTATAATTATATAGTTACTTTTCTGCGAAAATAGAACAACAGAAAGAGCATCATTTAATTTTTATCTCAAGTCGATGCCAACTATGTGATCGCATATTTTTACAACGCGAATTCGTCGGAAAGTAAAAGCAAAAGAGAAATACCTATCATTATTAAATAATGGCGTCATCAGAGGGAAAAATGAGAGGGCAATCCGGGAAAAAGCAGGCAACAAGACGAATATTACATTCTGATACTCGTTCCCGAATTAAATCGATACACTGTAAACACGCCAACCCTCTATATCAACGGCAACTGTACGGTTCCATCAATATACCTCAATTAGTCTATCACCTCCTTACCATCGACAAACACAATCATGGTATTACGATTAAAACATAATTACATGATTATATATTTAACACCGATAAACGGCAATAAATTAAGATATAAAATTAAATTATTTCAATCTATATCTTTAAGTATCATACATACAACTCGAATTTTTGAACCTAAAATCAATTATATCTTAAATATATATATATATATATATATATATAAATGACCAAAAAAATTGTATTTTATTTCAATTTTTTGTTCCGTACATATAATTATAACATATATAATTGATATTTAATAAAACATCAAGTATCATCAGTTATATAGAAATAATCAAATCTTATCTTAATTTGTAATCTAACAAGTTACCTTTATATTGTTATTGGCAAAGACGCAAGACGTTTTTCATCTCCGAAACGCTTCGAAACAGACTGTCGAAAAATGCAGAACTCTCATGAACGGCAAAGGCTGTCATACGAAGCGGTCGATCATTGCAATGGTTCGGAATCTGTACAAGTGCCAGCGTACACAATAGAATCCAGGCCTACATCTACCGATAATCTCACGGAAGCAACGGATGCTACAAATAGCTCAGTACCAACGAGTTCCGCGAATAGCAGCGTGTCAAATGTCTCAATGGAACGGAACGCACTGGCGAACTCGCTCAATAGCGCCAAAGCACTTTTCAGGAAGAGATCTTTAATACAGCTCATTAATAATTACATCAAAGCTGGCGTCGAAGAAGGTGCATTTTTCCATTTACATAGAATTTTCAGTTTGTGTACATAGTAATAAAAATAAATATTCAATATATTGCAGCTTGATTGCAGCAAAATTTGAAATTCTTTCTTTCTCATAGTAGTTGAACATAAAGAAATTACTGCAATGATATATTGTACTATAATTGGATTTTATATTAAACAATTGCACACCTAAACCTCCATTGGAGATTAACTCTTTTCAACCCATTTAAAACAAGTCGAATGATTTAGAAAAATTTTACACTTTTTTAGAATTTTTTTGTAAAAAATTCTATTTCTATAATATCTATATACATACATACATACATATGTGTATGTACATATATACGTGTACATTCCGAAAGTCGTGAATCAAAGTACACGGCAAAAAAATTATCAAAAATTTAAGTAAAAAAAGTTATTTGTAATTTTTAATTTTTTAAGCAATAGAGTTTGTGAAATAATAACGACTCATTCAATATTCAAATATGGCCAATTATAAACTTTAGATAGACTACATTTAAACGCTCAAGTTTACCATGTGTAATACTACCGCACGTGCGATTCATCGAATAGATGGCAAAAATCTAAATTTGTAATTGGTTATATTTAAAT